TATTCCATAAAGACAATTTTTATGAACCTTTGGGATGTTAAGAAGCTTTATGGAAAGTGATAGGTTTTGTCTTAATGGATGGTTAATGAAAGTATTAAGCTGCTAGAACCACCATGGCGTGGTCATGAGCTGACCATTATATGGTGGTGATATGGGTCGCGATTGTTTTGTTGGACTAGACGACAGCGTGGTCAAGGGCATGCCACGGTACGGTGGGTCATTGACCTTTTACCATTGACCATTGAATTTTTGACCTTTAGACAAGTTTTACTGAAAGTGTATCTTTGGCTTGTGAGTAAAGGAAAACTGATCTTTTGACCCAAGATAAGGATTAGGATAAGAAAGACTCGTTTAGTAGAGAAAGTTAAGTAATGTACATTAATTTCGAGATTAGGGATTAATTGTTGCGTATTGGCTCGAGGTAGTGTCAGCGCCACCTAGTCTGTTGTGTGGATTACCTTATCAGTCATTCAGGTGAGTTCTCACGAACTTACTTACTATGTAGATCATATGTTATATGTCAGTCAGACTAAAGATAGACTGCTTAGAAGGAATCTAGTGGGATCAGGTCCATGATAGACCTCTTGGAGGGAAGTGCTCAATACCAAGTCACTTGAGATAGACTGATTAGAGGGAATCTAGTGATTATGGTCAACTATGTTAAGTTTCAGAATGCATATCATTTATATAATGATTAAGCATTGTGAGAACTCACTAAGATTTAGGCTTATAATTGCTACTTTATGTTTTTAAAAGCAGGTCCTTCCTGTTCAAAGGGTAAGGAACTGACATGATTGGGATATCTGGACATTCTCGGAGGGGCATGGCATTTATTTTAGCCATTCTATGTTATGTTATGGTTTTTAAAACAATATTTAACTTCCACGTATTTACTATGAGAATATCAATGTGATATGAAAAGAGGATTTTATGATTTGATAACAAATATGAATGAAACCGTTTGGTTAAACCTATACTCTAATTGGTTGTATCTTTGGGATGTTACATTCGTATATGTTTTCCATACAGTTGGCCATGGTTGATAAGATTATTTGTTATGATTATTTATATGTTACTTACTTTAGTGATAGTTATTCCTCTTTAATTGCTTTCTTTTAAGATTTTAATAAGAATATACTAATTTATCAATTGTAACGCCTGTGTTTCTGGGCTTGCCATTTTTAGCAATGTGATCGTCTAGGTTAACCTTTGTAACCCGTTTTGAAATAATATAAGAGTATTATTTGAGTATTATGTGTTTTGTGCTTAATTGCTTAATTATGTGGTTTGATTAATTAAGAATAAAAATAAGCGTCAAAATTTAAGTGTAAAATAAACTTGATATCTTTAGATAAGGTTGTAGCAGTTGAAACAAGGTTTCCGAAGATATAAAGAGTGCCGAAATCCGAGTTATAACGAGGAAGTTATGACATGTCGAAGTTTCGCGACAAAACCGGCAACGCTGGTTAACGTAAAAAGTGAAATTTACGTTAGAGCGATATTTAGCCTTAGTGATCTAAACGAGAATCTAAGATCTCGTTGTTAGTATCAAAGCGATAAAAAGTTAGGCGAGAACGGACATCAAATGGAGAAGTTATGAATTTATAACGAAATTTTCTTTCCCGGCCTATTAAAAATAAATAATAAAAATAAAGTCAAAGTTAGCTGACGAAGTCTAAACGAAAGTTGTAGAGCGTAGTCTCACCTTCGCGTGGATATAAAGAACGTCGAAAACGGAGTTCGTATGAAGGAGATATGAATTTTTGAAGTTTATTAAATAATTTATAATTAAATTTAATTATAAAATCTGGCCTTATCCGAAGACGAGTCACCGGACTCATCCGGAGTACGCCCAGCGTACTCCAGTACGCCCCGCGTACAGCTAGAGTTTCGACACTTCGGATGACGCATGCAGTGATGCATTTCGGAGCCCGTACACCCCGCGTACTCCGAGGCATTAGCCTCCTATAAATAGGATGCGAGGGGTCCGAGTATTCTTGCTAATTTCTTCTCCTCTTTGTGCCGAAGCTCTGCATTTTTACCCCCGAAGCCACCCCGAAGCCCCGGTAATATTCCCGAGTCCCGAAGCAAGTTCCGAGATCCCGAAGATCCAGAGAAGTGCGGTTTCCGAGCCGAAGCTCTGCCCGCGAGAAGTTCGATTTTCGTAGAGATCTTCCAGATCTGCTGAGGATTACGACTTCTGCAAGCCGTAGTGCTGTCCGATCATCTTCTGATCAAGTGAGTGTATACTACCTTTCATAAACGCAATAATAATACAAGTATGATTTGAGTGTATTAAGTATATTGTTGTTTATATGTGTGAGTGTGTAGTTACTTTCTTCTAACGCATAATTATGAAGTATTTTATACGAAATACGTGTTATGTGTATAGTTTTGTTGTTATGTACGTGAATGTATATTCACTCTCTTTAATCTCATAGATCCGATTTGTTTTCTATGAAATACGTGTTATGTGGGTATGCCTCATCTGTTATGTGGAATATATATTGAATGAAAATGATATACAGGTTTTAAACTATGTATAAAAATGTATATTTTTATCTACTAATATGTTGGGTAGAACATGGGTAGATAGTTGGTGTGTAATAAACAGATGAGAGGCCTCGATGTTGTTGTTGTTGTTGACCTAGTTATTCAGCGGAGTATGGATAACGACCACAGACTCCTTCTAGACAGTCTCGTGGAACGCTAGCAGGTTCATAACCTGTAGGTGTTGTGAACGATGTGTTCACCGGTGTACTCTATCCCCCTCATGGTTGCCTTAGGATATCTATTGTTGAGGAAACCCCTAAGCAGTAATGTCCGTCCCGATGAAAATCCTAGATTAGGTCCCTTGAGATAGATGTTGTTTTAGGGACGTAAAGTGAGGATAACGGGAATGAGTAATCGGGATAGTGATTGGTTGGTGAAATTAAATATAATTTATTTATTGTGGGTTGAAAACCCTATATGCTCACCAGGCTCCCAAGCCTGACCCACTCATTACAGGAAGTGGCGCAAGGGCGTAAGATGGACGAACCATCAGGTTGTTTTGTTTACAAGTCTGTATATGTATATATTTGTTGAATGACTTGTAATGTTATTGTTTATGCTTAATGGTCTGTATCGGAACATGACACCCCGAGTTTTAATTATATAATGAAAATGCATCTCTTGATGAAATGCTTTGATAAATATTATTTTATCATGTTTTGTTTTGGGAACAAATTCCGCAACTCTTTCAAATCAAAAGGATTTACTCTGAATTTATTTTAAAAGCATAAATGAAAATTGGTCTTTTCTGACCGTGATTTTGGAGATGTCACATCAATACACTTATCTTTTCAATGTGTTCAACATCCTTACTTGCCTAAGTTATGATGTTATTAATCAGGTCCACTATCTAGTGTAGATAATCAGTTTGGGTTATTAGGAATTTTAAATGTAAAACTTGATTTGTATTTTCAAATCTATATCTTTTATGTCATAACTTTTTTGGTGTCATTATCAACGATAATGGTTTTCAAGTTTATAAACTATCTTTTGGAGGGAAATTTTCAGCTGAGGATTCATATTTCTCGGTTCAACATTTCTATAACATCCTTTCTTAACAAACACAAGATTTAATTATTTAATTCTAACAAACCATAATTATTTAATTATCTAATTCCCAATCGATCTCATCATTTAGGGATAGATTTTGATTGGAAAAAGGTTTTACTTTCCTTCTATTTTCTTTTCTTCCTTAAAGGAAACTCGAAAACACACTTCATCATTTTTCCTTTCCCCCTAGTTATTAAAAAAACTCACAAACACAACTTTCCTCCTTGTCTTTCCTTTCCTTCCTTAAAAAACTCCGGAACATGTTGTAAAATTGATGGGCTTCGCGAGAAAATAAACTATACTACGATAGTGAAAACACAACAAATAAAACTTGCACGTGTAAGATATGATTTCATGAATACGTTTTTTTGGAAAATTGCCATCAAATATTGTTGTAGTTATGTAGATAAAATATAATATCGACCAAACACATGAACACATGCTAAAAACAAGTTTGATTAATTAAATATTGTTGGCATATCATTACTTGGTGAACTAGTCAATTACTATGTGAAAAATTGACATTTTAAAAAATTCCACGTATTGACATTTACGTGAAAATGACTCAAACACCTTAATTAAGAAGTTAGATTGGATGCAGGAAGGAAAATCAAATTAGTTTAAAGGTATATCATGCTATAATTAAACTATAAGAGAGTAGGGGTTGATTGAAGCTATGTTTGGCAATGTTAGATTTTGCTTCATATTTCTCCTACTATTTTTAGTCCATTTTCACCCACTACCTTCATTCTTCACTACAGCAAGATTCATATTTGAAAATATACCTCTACATTCCGAGATTCAATTCTCACATTCATCAAAAATAATAATAATAATAATAACCATAGTTTATTGCATCATGTTTTGAGCATCGGTGAACAAGGTTCAATTCACAGGTTAAAAGGAACAAATAAATTTACAAGGTACTATACTTATCCAAAACATCAAACACATATTTCTTGGTTATTCTTTCTTAAATCTTATACTGATTTCATCTTTTTTGTCAAGATGCTGATTGTTGTACGATCTTTGATCAATTAAGATATACTAAAAACTACCTTATTTGTTCGGCCCTTACAGTATCAAGAACCATGATTCGCACATCCAAGCTTGTTCACGGATACGCAAGATTTATATATAATAATGGTGTGAAGTAAATGCATGTACTTTTGTCGTCGTTGCAAAAACAATTAAGGGTGTAAATCCCAATATTCATGACTTTTACGGTATTTGATTAGGGTATAATAATTTATAAGAAAAAAACTAAGAATCCAATGAGGTCAGTTAGTTTCTATGTTGTCTTGCCGTTTGAAGAAAGATGCCATTTCTTTACACATTTTCTTATATAAGTAGATGCACTAAGCATCAATGGAGTACATTCAAACATCGAGAACCAAATGGGCATCATGAGAACGATTGTAACAATATGCATGATGATACTTGTGGTTGTGGGACCTACAACAATGGCTTCAAAGCCATTTCCATTTGATGATCGCCCAGATGAGGTTTGCTGCTACCCTGGTTATCCCTGTTGTGACGTCCCCTTTCCTCCTGGAGCTGATGAGGATGAGAACAGTGTGACAGACCTTGCACCTGCATCTTCTATCGCTCATGGTAATAAGGCACACCCTTGAGATCTTGATCGAAGAAATGGTAACAAATGATGGCTTACTTTGTATAAGTAAACATAATAAAGATGGGTGTGATTTGTATAAGTTATATGAGTTTTCGTGTTTGGGTTATATAGAGTATGAAATATAATAATATTACTTCTCGGGTTTTGTTGAATGGTTACAACATTGGTTAAGTTGTATATTGATAAACTACATGTATACCCACACCTTGTAATTGAACAAAAATTGTTTGGTGATATTGAGACATGTATTTTCTAGAAAAATAACTAAATTGCTCTAATATGAAAACCGTGAGATTTTATCGATCACAAACACAACTGTGTAAATGCATTTTTACATTTAAAAAAAATATATATATTGTTTATTTTGGCTCACCCAAAGTAATTTAGTCTAGTCAATCTTCAAAGACAAACAAATATTGAACTTAAGTTGTGTTGTTTGAAGTATAAAGTTCAATAACAAGCTTTATAGAACTTGTGATATTTTGGAACTTGTGATACTCAGATACCCAATAATTGTCAATTAAACATTAGATTTTCATGGACAGGGCCAAATGGTGTTAAACATGTAGATGAATCTAAAGGAAGGAGCATACTCATTTTAATTGTATGTTCCGGGCATAAATCATAATCGCGGCAAATATGTAACTTTTCACCATTGCATCTAATCAGAATCGTTGCAAAAAAATCTAGCAAATAACACTCAATAAATTTTTCAAGAAATACCTAAGTGGAAGATATTTTGATATAATTTCTAAAAATTAAATCTAAGTTTTCAAAATGATCTTTTTTTTTTATAAAATTATTTTCTTAAATTCTATTTTTGGATGTTTAATACAAAAATAGTTATATTTTATAAAAATTGAGATTGTAAAAATTCCTATGGAATGAAATTTTCTTAAAAATTATTCCAACACTGAAGAAGTTATAGCGGATGCAACAAGGAAAATCAAATTAGTTTAAAGGTATTATTGTTGCAAGTTTCTTTGTGCACCTTGACAATAAAGTAGTTGATGAGTGTCATGTGAAGCTTCGCTTTACAACTTTCTTTAACAGCTGAATTTATAAACAAAACTAGTTATAAGATGCTAGAAATTACTTAAAATTGGGTTTCTAAGCCATTCAACCCGATTAGCATCATTCTTACAGTTTCTAAAATTAAATCAATTATAAGAGTAATCAACTATATCATCAAAAGTACAAGTTTGTAACGGACTTGACTCCAAATCCGTTTTTTTATTTGAAGAAAGAAAGTCCATTTTCAACTAAGAAAATAAATCTTATAAAATATTCACATCCGGCATTATCAAATCCGTTCATCTAAACACCTTTTGTCAAATATAAACAACCTCTTCACAATCTAAGAACATGTGATCAACTCATTACACATGTCTTAAACATAAAGGGAAAAACAACCAAAGAATATCCAAATATTTGATGCTAAGATTCCACTAATAAAAATCTCCAAATAAAAATGTGTACTTTTCTAGGAACAAATTGGTTCCACGTAGTAGCATGATTAATTACCATCTGTAAGTAATCATTATCATTATATTTTCTAACTTTATTCATCGTGAACCCGATAGTACCATCCAACTCCCACCACCAATCGTCTTCCTCAGAATTCGGTTGGAATGACTGAAGGAGCAAAAGAAGGTCAACAAATTGTATTTGCAAAGCACCACCATCAAATGGACGAGTCCAATATCAAGACCAATCATCAACACATCTATACGCAAGAGTACACTCTTGGTTTTGCTTAAGATAAAACAAACATGAAAACGATCTTTAAAAGGAACTTCATCTATCCAACCGTCTATCCAAAAAGGGCACATCTTCCATTTCCTACTATTTCTTGACCCAAAAATAAGGAATAATACATCTATCATGCATAGTGTTTATGGAACCAATGATACCAACCCAAACCCATGAAGTAGTAACTGTAGAATTACTATAAAAATCACCTATGGGATAATCGTAAAAGGCTGAAATCACTTCCTCCCATAAAGAATCTTTTTCGTTTACAAACCACCAATGCCACTTTTGAATCAAGGCATGCTTAAGAGCTTCGAAACTACCAAAATCGAGCCACCCCCCCCCCCCTTCTGTAACGACCCAATTTTCAAAGGAATTTTTTTTAAATAGTCAAAACATTTCCAATAAACCACAAATCTCAAGAACAATAGTTTTCAAATTCATAACATCAATAATTTTTATTTCAAATATCATAGTGTCCCTTCAAATCAAATACCCAAGAGTGCATGTCACGCCATCAAGCCTTGTCATTGCCCTTAGGCTCAGAAGTACCTGAAACAAATCAACACACTGTAAGCTAATGCTTAATGAGTTCCCCAGAGCATACCCCACACAATCCACATAATCAAATAATCCATATTAGCTATAAAAGCTACATAAACCATATAAGCCATACATACAACATATAAGGATGTCGTGGGCTCACCCCATGGTCTTACTCCAGGATGTCATGGGTTCCCTACATGGTCTTACACCTAAGTGCCATAGGCTCCCCTTATGGTCTTGAATAGGAAAGCCATGGGATCTCCACATGGTCTTACATCTAAGTGTCATAGGCTATCCCATGGTCTTTAATAGGAAAGTCATGGGCTCTCCACATGGTCTTACATCTAGGTGCCATGGGCTCTCCCATGGTCTTCCATACAAGTATACCACATATACAACTAGCATACCTCCTATCACATAACCATCTAATATGCCAAATAACACTATTTCAACTAGTGTACCACATATCATAAAATGGGTCGGCCTTGGTGCCTTCGACCCATTGGTATGGTGAGGAGACTCACCTCTCGAGAATGTTGAACTGATAAAATAGAATTAGATAAGTCCCAACGCGCAACTCCAACTCAACTGCCTATAACCATCATGTGATTAACTCGTCAAAATCCTAAAATACCATAAATACCCTTAAAGTCAAACTTGGTCAACCCTGGTCAAAGTCCAAGTCAACAGTCAAGGTCAACAGTCCATGTTGACCCCAACTCGTCGAGGGCATCTAGCAACTCATCGAGTTCCTTCAAAGTCCAGAAAACCGAGAAAAAACCTAACCAGCTTGTCGATTTGTCTTATCAACTCATCGAGTTACTCGTCATACCAAAAACGGGGAAACTTGATCCAACTTGTCGAGTTATCTTAACAACTCGTCGAGTTTACTATACAAATCAAAAACGGGAAACTCGCTCCAAATCGCTGAGTTGCTAGGGAAACTCGTCGAGTTTTCCCTTGTCTTAACATAATCATCCCTTCCAGTCGAATCCAAACTTCCAAACTACAGATCCAGTCCCTTAAGACCTAAATACCATGTAAAGTAGCAAACTTTAAGTGCATGCATGGCCTTAAATGGCTAAAACACTAAATCTAGGGCTCATACAATACTTAGGACGTGGAAAAGGGCCTAGACTAGGTAAAGGGAGCAACTTTATGTAATTGAAGACCTAAAGGTGTCCAGATCTGGAACCATATCCTCATGACAAGTCCAAATCCGAGTATGACACCCTTTTGCACCAAAAGTAACATATTCTTCCATAAGATGAGATCTAAGCAAATAGAGGTCAAGGTAGCAACTATTTACCTCTAAATGGATGCTAACAATAGGTAGATGTCGGATCCAAAGCCTTCTCCTCACTTCAATCTCTTCAACCTTCAAGTTTCATTCTAAAAAGCATAAGATTCACTCTCCAAGGCTCACACACACTCAAGAAAGCACCAAAACACGACTAGGGTTTCTCTTTGGATAGATAGGATGATGAGGGAGGCCATAAATGATCCATAAGTTCCTTAAATATGGTACAAATCCCTGAAAATTAGGGTTTTCCTTTACAGTGTCCACTCGTTGAGTTGGGGCCTTCCAACTAGTCGAATAGACCCTAAGTCCCGCGCCCAAAATCGATCTCTACTCATCGAGTTGGGCTCCCCAACTCATCGAGTCCTAACCCAAAACCCTAAAAACTTAGAAAATTAAATGATACCTAGAACATGCATTACAAATCTCCCCCACTTGAACTAGACTTCGTATCATTTAATTTTCTAAGTCCGGGTAGTGATCTCGCATATCCTCTTCTGGCTCCCACGTCCATTCGGAGCCTCTTCGGTGCTGCCATTGCAACTTCACTAACTTCACCTCCTTGTTCCGAAGATCCTTAGTCTTCCTATCCAGAATCGAAACAGTCCTCTCAATGTAGTTCAGGCTCTCATTTACCTGAATGCCATCAATAGAAATAATCACGGCCTCGTCTGTGACACACTTCCGAAGCTAGGACATGTGGAAGGTGTTGTGTATCTGGCTAAGCTCGTCTGACAGATCCAAACGGTAAGCCACCTTGCCCACCCGGGCCGAAATACTAAACGGGCCAATATACTAGGGCCCTAACTTGCCCCTCTTCTGGAACCAAATAAAACCCTTCCATGGTGATACTTTTAGCAAGGCGAAGTCCCCCACCTGGAACTCTAGATCCGATCGGCGCCGGTCAGCATAGCTTTTCTGAAGGCTATGTGCAACTCGCATCCTGTCACGTACCTGTTGACTCAACTCGGTAGTATTAAGCATGACTTCGGTGCTCCCCATGACCCAGTGCCCTACCTCACTCCAACAAACAGGGGTCCTACGCCTCCATCCATACAACATCTCGAACGGTGGTCAATCAATACTAACATGATAACTATTGTTATATGAAAACTCTACTAGTGGAAGGTATGTATCCCAACTCCCTCCAAAATTCAATACGCATTCCCGAAGCATATCCTCAAGTGTCTGGATCGTCCTCTCACTCTGGTCATCCGTCTGGGGGTAGTATACCGTGTTGAAATGTAACTGGGTGCCCAGTTCCTCATGGAACTTTTTCCATAATCTAGATGTATATCGAACAACTCTGTCAGAGACTACTGATATTGGCACCATGTGTCTAGCCACCACCTCTCGCACATAAATATCCGCCAATTTCTCATCAGAGATGCTCTAGGAGATCGGAATAAAATGGGCACTCTTCATCAACCTATCCACAATCACCCATATGGAATCCACACCCCTCGCTATCCTTGATAACTTCATGATGAATTCCATAGTGATATTTTCCCACTTCCACATAGGAATGGGTAACGGCTAAACCTTGCCATACGGCCGTTGATGTTCGGCCTTGACCTTCCTGCAGGTCAAGAATCGCTCCAAAAACCAAGCGATCTCTCGCTTCATACAAGACCACCAGTAGCTCATCCTCAGCTCTCTATACACTTTTGTAGCTCTCGGATGTATAGAGAACTTGGATTTGTGTGCCTCCTCCAGGATCGTCTGTCTCACACCTCCGGTTACCGATACCCACACTCGGCCACACTATGTCAGAATACCTCGACTATCCTTAACAAACAATGGAAATTACCCCTAAATCCGCTCTATCTTCCTGTTCTCTTTCTACAAACCCTTCACTTGAGCCTTCTTGATCATATCTAGCAATGGAGAGATCACCGTCATCCTCAAGCAAACGCTCCCAATCGGGGAACTCGCTGCCTTGCAGCTAAAAACATCAGACACAATGTTGGGCTTCCCTGGATGGTATAAGATCTCATTATCATAATCTTTCAGCACATCCAACCACCTCCTCTGTCACATGTTGAGGTTCTATTGATCCATCAAATACTTCAAACTTTTGTGATTAGTATAAATGGTGCACTACACTCCATATAGGTAGTGCCTCCAAATCTTGAGGGCAAACACTATTGCCCCCAATTCCAGGTCATGAGTCGGGTAGTTCGCCTTGTGAGGCTTCAACTTCCTCGAAGCATATACGATCACCTACCCTTTATGCATCAGTACAACACCTAACCTAGAGATCGATGCATCATAGTACACTACCAAATCATCCATCCATTCAGGTAGTACTAGAATTGGAGCCACACATAACCTCTGTCTCAAGGTCTCGAAAGCCAACTGTTGATCTGGGCCCCATTGGAATGTCACATTCGTCTTGGTCAGACGGTTCAAAGGAACAATGATCTTACATAAATCCTGGATGAATCTCCGATAACAGCCGCTAAACCCAAGAAGCTACGGATGTCAAATGCGTTCTTTGGTACTTCCCACTGCATTAATGCCTTAACCTTGGATGGGTCCACCGAAATACCCTCTTGGTTGATAATGTGCCCCAAAAACTGCACCTCTCGTAGCCATAAATCACACTTTGAGAACTTGGCATAAAACCTTTTTGTTCTCAGTGTCTCCAATACCTCCCTTAAATGCTGCTCATGTTGCTCCTTGGTGTTAGAATAGACCAGGATATCATCAATAAAAACGATCACCGACCGATCCAGCATCGTTCTACACACTCTGTTCATGAGATCCATGAACGTTGTTGGGGAATTGGTGAGCCCGAATGGCAACACCACAAACTCATAGTGCCCGTACCTAGTCCCGAAAGCGGTCTTTGTTATATCCTCATCCCCAATCCTCATCTGATGGTACCCTAATCGAAGATCAATCTTGGAAAACCAAGATGCACCTTGTAGCTGATCGAACAAATCATCGATCCTCGGTAGCGGATAATGGTTTTTCACCGTTAGTTTTTTCATCTCCCGATAATCAATACACATCCTGTGTGACCCATCCTTCTTTTCCACGAACAGGATCGGTGCTCCCCATGGGGAACTACTCGGACGAATAAACCCTCGGTCCAGTAGCTCCTAAAGCTGAGTAGATAGCTCCTACATCTCGGGCGGAGCTATCCGGTAGGGTGCC